TTATTATTATTATTATTATTATTATTATTATTATTATTATTATTATCGTTTTTGTACAATGCCCCCTATATCTGGGTTTGGTCATTTCATCCTTGAGTCTGCAAAAGAAGAAGAAAAAAAAAAAGTAAAAGTAGAAAATGAAAAGATTGTTTATGAACTGTATATTTAGGTGGAGAATCATAGAAACACAAATCGAGTCGAAATTATAGTCATGAAACTTCGAGAAAATCGGGAGAAAATCCATGGCCGGAAACCCAAGAATTGGCAGAAATCAATCGTCCTCGGCCCACTATCCATATCAAAACACATGCTAATGAGTTCTCGAGCGTTCGACTCTTAAAGCCGTGAAAATCTCCGCTGCCACTACCTAAATTCCTCAGTACCCAGGCCAAGAATGCGCAGGCTGCTCTCTGCTATGGCATCTTCATGTTCTCCACTATCGTTCTCCATGACCTCCCCATCCTGGACCTGGTGGTCCCCTCCAGTGCCGGCCTCCACCACATAGATCCGGCTAAGGGTCGACAAGGCGGCATCGTTGTGCCTACGCCGCTGCTATCTTTTCTGCCAATGCGGCAGACCCTGGGTGGGGCTACTTCAACGTCATTCGTAGGCCACTTTTTTTTTTTACCTCAGGTAAGATTAATTAAAATTAACAAGATTATTTATACACTTGTATAATGCACTTGAACTAGATTTTATAAAACAAAACCATCTTATAGGCCGGTTGAAGGGGCATTGTGGAAAAACACAAAGCTCTGGTATGGTGGTTTGTTAAGATAAAGTTTATATGGTAACCAGGAAAATATATGGTAAGCAGGAAATTTCGTGGAAGTTCAGGGGGAAAAATTATTCACCAGAGAAGAAAAGCACACTTAAATGCCAGTACCTGATTATATTTCTTCATTGCTTCTAAATTGGCTATAAGTTCGAGGGGCCAAGAGACCTGTTGTGTTAGTTGGAATTAAACAAAATCTCAGATCAAAACGTCGTGTACCAACAACACAAAACAAACAAAGTCACGCGCACACACACACACACACAAACACACAAAAAAAAAAAGTGAACAGCACAAATATGCCAAAACTGCATGCCTTATATGTGAACTGCAGAGAGTCGAGGACATCCATACTGTAGCTCTGTGCTCTACCTTTACGAGGAGTTGAAACAGGAACAGATTGATTGACAGGTTCATCTTCACTAAAATCCACATTTTTGTTGACTGACACAACCAATGAATCAGGTGTATTTAGCAACACATTATCAGCAGAGTTTCTTATTGATTCCTGAAAGTAGAGACAATACTAGCATTAATACATTCCAGTGACCAGGCCAGCATCAGAAAAGGAAGGAAGATATTTTACTCAGAAAAAAAGAATCACAATACTATAGATACAATTTCATGTTTCATTAATAAACTTTAAAGCAATGGAAGTAATAGAAAACAAACAGAACTCGACAATTTGATACTAACAGTGCAAAATTCATTTTAATTATTACACAACCGATAGATAATATCCAGTGAGTACTCGACAATTTGGTAGTAGCAATCTGCAAAAATCATTTGAAGCATTACACACCTGATAAAATGATTTTCAGTGAGTATATATGGTTTATAAAATTAAAGGTTAATACATGGGGATATTCTGTATAGCAAAGCAAAGCATGAACCACAATACGTGTCAATTAATAAAGTACCTTGAAAGCAGAAAAGTATGAATAGAAAGTCTCTAAGTTCAGAGAATGGCAACAAATACATTATTACCACAATTAATTATAATTATCCTGTCATACAAGAGCAACATAAAGTGAATTACAGCATCTTATTAACCTCAAAGGGTTTGTGTAAGTCATCCTAACAATCCCATTATTGGTGGTAAGAGAATTGAAGTAGAATAGCCAATTAATCACGAAATCTATGGTTCATACAAACAATTTCTTATGAAGTAGTTTACAAAACAATCAATATCATAAATCATTCTGTTAGCTTTAGTAAAAAGATGCACTAAACAATAAGATAACTAATCATTCGATCAAAGCAACATAAAAAGAAGATTCTCAACACATGCTCAGGCAGGGATAAATTCCCTCAGAGGGAACAAGAAATAATCAATGAGGATCAGTCAAATGATATTGCTAAGTTTCCACAATGGGCTAAATATATATTAAACCACTGTATTAGTCTTTGATGACTGTAGGCTATGGAAGATCAGTACATTTGGAAGTGAACAAGATCCACATTACAGGTTAACATAGATGCTAGCATAAACTGACAGAATGAGTCTAGCAACTGGACCTGCAATATCGTGTTCAACTCAAAATCATCGTCTAAGGATTCTCCTTTGTCTAGCTTATTGAAGATCACCGACAAGAAGTGCTGCAGTAGATCACCTGGATATTCCAAGATATCAACCCAATCAGACACCATCATTAAATACGAAGAGTGCCACACCCGTTAAGATGTTTAATGGAAACACCAGATATACCTACCCGATCCTAATAAATATATAGCACGCAACACACCCAACTCATCTAGCAATCTCCAGTCACCAAGTAATTTGGACAGCATAGTCCTGCCAATATAATCGGCCTGCACATCGAATATACACTATAGCCTTGTACATTGACAAAGAAAGAAGTATGACAAGTAATTACTCATCATCAGACCTGCTTCTTAATGTAGGTGATAAGGCACTCTTGAAGAATAGCTGAAGGCAATGGAGTACCCTTAGGCTCAACATTTTGAATCCAGCCGAGTGTTCTTGAGGGAAGCGTGCAGTTATTCTGGAAGGGTAAAACTTCTGATATCTGAAGGTCATCCTGTTACATAGTTCAAAAGAAATATTAATTCACAGAAGAAAGAAAAGGATAGGTTGCAAGTATTCTTCAGTCGCGTACACACGGAATACCTGGCAAGATGGAAGAAGGGTAGGAAATGGAAGCAAAACCTCAAGCATTTTTGCATCTTCTAGGAATCTCACACTTTCCACCTCGCCAAACTGAGAATCTGAAGTAGAATTCATACCACTATTATGGAATATTGCCTTTCTTAGGCACTCATCATTCAAAGGAGGGAGATCAAAAGCTTGAGAAACATTCAGTGAGCTCCAAGAATCTCTGTTCTCCCAAAGAATCCCACGACAAACAGTAATAGCTGGATTTTCAGGACAATACTTTCTTGGAAGCATGTCAAGTTCATCCGAGATAATCTCCAATCCCTTCATATTATGTGAAGCTTTCCTTGATGTTAAACCCGTATAACTTTTTTGTGTTAGTGTGTCATCCAATAACTTCTGCCAGACCTTTTTTGACTGCATATTGCCCCCTAAGCTCCTACTGATCTCTTCTACAGCCAGAGTCTCCTCAATGGGTCTGGTCAAATGTTTCCCATCTTTCCATAAACCCTCAGCAATATGATCACCGTCGCCAATCAGAGCTGTTAGTGACACACAAAATACCTCCAATAAGGTTAGCTCATCTACGCTACACCCATTCTCAACAGAACCACCAGAAATTGCCAAAACAGATCTTGTAGGAGCATGCCGGATAAGCTGCAGTGATTTTCCAGCAGAAACAATTGCCTTAGCAATGTCTTTAAAGAAGAATGGACAAACTTGAAAGTCTTTATTATTATCTTGTTTCCCCATTTCCATATTCGGAAAAGATATGGATGCTCTGCCAGTTATATCTTTTTTGTCTTTAGCTAAAAGCCGATATTCTGCGGCCAAATTGGCAAGACTTGGTTTTTCCGGCATAGCCGATTTCAACTGACAGCTTTTCTCCCAAAATTCCGCCTCCTCTATTGCAATATTTTTGTTTACAATGAAAAACATCTGCAGGAAAGCCCAGAATATCATCAGAACAACAAAGACACACTAAGAAGGGTAACTAAGAGCTACATTTGCAGTGGAACTTGAGTCCATTTTCTAGAGCAAACCTATAATAACAAATACTGACACCAGGTAGCAACCTATTAATCTCCTACGATATTCTCTTTTTTTGTACTAATTAAATCCAATCCCAGGACTTTGCAGACATAAAAAAATCCCAGTCTAACCACATCATAAGCACCTTGCGACAGATTGCAGCCAACCATCTCCCATTTGTGTGGATAGTCAGGGTTAACAGGCAACAGAGAAACACAAGCACTATCTACGCCAATATAGATCGCTAAAATGCAGATAATTAGATGCAAACTTCTCAAACATTCATCATCAAAATGAGAACATTATATGTCAATACAAGTTACAGATATAACTTATTTTGAGATTGACCTAAAGATCTTGTAGGGTTAAAATCCTGGACTACAATTTACTATATTCTTGCACCATAAGTCATAGAAGTCATGACAAAATATGTGTGCCCTAATCAACGGACAGAAGTCAACATTTATACTGCAATTTCAGATACCAGATGTCCCATACAAGAGTAAAGGAAATACCTCCTCAAAAGGATCATCAAGAGTTCCCTGGAAAAGCCAAGAATCAAGGCTCTCAATATACGGTAGCAAACTTCCTACAAATATATAAAATAACATTCGGAATGCATCCTCCTGCAACCAATGAGCTATACAGTTTAAATAACAAAAAATAGGGCAAGCATTAAGGAACGATGTATCATTTTACAAAGAAATTTTAAAACCTCTCCCCCATCCACAAGACAAACTTCATTGAGCTTCATGTAAAGATGATTCAGAATGTGAACAGCTATATCAGCAGCTGGGACAGAGGCATCAAGATCAAAATAGTACCGAGGAATGGCTCCATGCACTATTTGAAACAAATATTCAGCTCCTGCGCAAAGGCTACAGAAAAAGACACAATCAAGAACTTTCATGAAGAAACTTCTAATGGATCTCTTCCAAAATATTTTCATACAACTAAAACAAAAGTTAATGAGGAACAACAAAATAAAGCACTTCCTTATAACTGCTGGGATGATTCTAAGCAAATAACACGTGGGCTTCTCTGTATGGGAAAAAAGGGAAGCAGAAGCAATGGATATTGTGATGCAACTGGGTTTTAACATATACATGTTTGCTCATAGTAGAACAGGTCCAAGTGAAGACAGCAATTTGGAATACACAAGATTATTGGTCCTACTTTACAATAACAAGAAATGCAGCATGATGCATCATTTCATTAACGGCCTTCACAAAAATAAAAATAAGAATGAGTATTAGTGTCAGCAGGTTCAGATTCTCGACATAGAACAAACCTTGATAAAGAACTGGACAATCCCAAGATTGACACAGCAGTAGTAACATTTGGGTTATTGATTTTCACCTCTTCTTTCAGAGCAACTTCTCGCATACTCTGTCACAATGAGGGAAAAATAAAAAAAAGAAAACCATTGAAATATAATCAAAACATGTCAAAAATAAATAAATGAGTCAGATCAAACAGAAACTTCCGTCTAATGGCAAGAACGTACTGTAAGCCACGTGCTAACAGAACAAGAAAATGCTCTTAGAGTTGGCGGAGTCGAGCTCTTAGATTTCTCAATTTTGTTCACCATAATATCAACTAGTCGTAAACAAGTTGCAGCATATGAAAACTGATCAAGGATACGATACAAACTCGTCTGTGAAAGACAATTCAAGAAAATCCCCTTTTTGTAGTGAAAACACTGCCTCGTCTCATTCCAAGAGAATAGTGAACTCGCTAGACCTTGAAGCATTTGCAACACTCCTCGAACCTGAACAAAAAATGGAATAAATGAAAAACCACCACCCAACTAGAAAGAGAGAGGTACAATGAATAACAACAAAGGGGAACAGTGTAAACACACACACACACACACACTTAAAATAGCTACCAGGTCGAACTCATTTGTCCTCAAAGACAAAGCTGGAGATGCGAAATGTATGCCACCACCAGTGAAGGATCTGTGGATACTGTCGATCAAGTTTTCACAAACCTCCATCTCCTACAGCTCAACTAAAGCATACACTCATGAAAAGGAGGGAGAATATAAAGAGATGGGGAACTAAAGAAATGGAAAGAAAAGCAAAACTTGTTGAGGCCACATATCAAACATTTGGAGGGCAGCATCAAGGTTGTGGGGCGCAAATGTTCAGCGTAAATTACTCTGTTGGGACCATATTTGGAGAAGAGGGTGAAGTACTACAGCAACAGCAGTTCAAATTCTGGGCGTGGGATTGTGAAAGGTGGGTGAGGTACAAAGGCAAAGGTCTACAGATTTCGCTATATATGCACGCAAGCAATTCATAAGAGTGATATTTTATTAGGGAGTGACGTCCTGAACGACTGACTGACGACGTCGGAAGTACTTTTCCGGTGATGAAGCTTTGAGCCGTGAGGCTTTTCAGGTTTTCTTTTTTTTTTTTCTTCCTTTTTTCAAGTTCGATTTGAAATTGTTTTTGCCTTTTCCACTTTCTGAAAATTTGCTCTTCGATCACAACAAATGAAATGAAACCATACTCCTATTTTTTTATTGGGTAAAATACATCAAATCCCCCTGTAATATTTTAAATTTACGCGTTATCCCCTTCTATTTTAGAAAATGGGTCAAACTCTCTTCTATTGTAGTTTGGCCAGTATACGTTTCCCAACTTATGTTTGGGTGTTAACACCGTTACATTTTTTATGAACATCTCGTTATGTCCTTGTACTTTGAGAAGTCATAGTCATCTAAAACAAAAATCATTTCTAAC